TTAAACGATGGCAAGTTTTGCCTCCTGTAAATCAACTTGTGTGTAACAGTTCAGTCAAAAAATTGGTCATTCGAAATTGATGTTAACCGAAAATTTCGGTTTTTTGACGGAATTGAATAGACCTATTTGTGGCTCGCAAACTTGGAGCTTTTTTCGGACTTTTTCTTGATTTTTTTTAAACAAGGGCAAATTTGCAAAAAAATTGTGTGTAGTAGTTTAGACAAAAACTGCAAAAGTCAGTGCAAATTCAGTTAAGAACGAGAGATTTTTGCTCTACTAGTGGTAAAATTTCCTAAGTTTTAGCTTTTTAGCCGATTTTTTGAAAGGAGGGCGAGTTTAGCCTCTTCTATAGTATCTTGTGTGTAACACTTTAGGCCAAAAATTGCTCACTCAAAAGTCATGTTGGATAGAAGAATCGTATTTACGGGGTTAAATAGACGACGAAATGGTTTATTTGTTTGATAATTTGCAAAATTGCAGCTCTTCCCGCGAATTTTTAGCAATTTTTTTAAACGATGACAAGTTTGGCCTCCTGTAAATCAACTTGTGTGTAACAGTTCAGTCAAAAAATTGGTCATTCGAAATTGATGTTAAACCGAAAATTTCGGTTTTTTGACGAAATTGAATAGACTTATTTGTGGTTCGCAAACTTGGAGCTTTTTTCGGACTTTTTCTTGATTTTTTTTAAACAAGGGCAAATTTGCAAAATAACCGTGTGTAGTAGTTCAAACAAAAACTGCAAAAGTCAGTGCAAATTCAGTTAAAAACGAGACATTTTTGCTCTGCTAGTGGTAAAATTTCCTAAGTTTTAGCTTTTTAGCCGATTTTTTGAAACGAGGGCGAGTTTTGCCTCTTCTATAGTAACTTGTGTGTAACACTTCAGGCCAAAAATTGGTCACTCAAAAGTCATGTTGGATAGAAGAATCGTATTTACGGGGTTAACTAGACGACGAATTGGTTTATTTGTTTGATAATTTGAAAAATTGCAGCTCTTCCCGCGAATTTTTAGCAATTTTTTTAAACGATGGCAAGTTTTGCCTCCTGTAAATCAACTTGTGTGTAACAGTTCAGTCCAAAATTGGTCATTCGAAATTGATGTTAACCGAAAATTTCGGTTTTTTGACGGAATTGAATAGACCTATTTGTGGTTCGCAAACTTGGAGCTTTTTTCGGACTTTTTCCTGATTTTTTTTAAACAAGTGCAAATTTGCAAAAAAATCGTCTGCAGTAGTTTAGACAAAAACTGCAAAAGTCAGTGCAAATTCAGTTAAAAACGAGAGATTTTTGCCCTGTTAGGGTCTCTATGCGTTTGGCAATTTGGTGGCATTTTTCGTCAATTTCGCACAATTTTTTGAACAAGCGTTCGAATAATCCTTTTATCAACCAACTGTGTGTTTTGCGCTTATTCTACTCGACAGGAGTTCATTGTTCAATCAGCTTTTCTCCTGTTGGTTCTTTATTTGTTCTGCTCGAATACTTCTTCGATTGCTTTGTGCGTTTAAGCTTTGCTGTTGAACTCTTGAACATTTTCCTATCGTGTTTCAGTGACTGTTCAACTGAAACTGAGCAAAAGACTAATTCAAGTAATGGATTTTTCCATCGCTCACTCCCTGCATAGGAAATGAGGTGGTGTTTAATGGAACTTTTGATGACCAATGGTGAAGTAAAAGTTGACCTTTCAGCGTTGGTTTAGCAGGCGCAGAATTCTTGTAGAAAATGTAGTTTCTGCGGTGAAACATCAACGTTGATTAGCAGCATTAAAAATGTACAGTTCGAAACGCAAACAGTGTCAATTAGTGAACGCACAATCGAAAAAGATCCCATGAGCGAAATAACAGGATTACGATAGCAGACCTTGGCCTTGTCTCGACTCTCGCTAATAACTGTACTCGATGGATCAGTGGGACTGCAGTTTCCGCATTCAGTTTCTTTTTCAGTGCGCGAATTTCAGTTTCCATTTACGGAAGACAATTACTTTCTTTATCATTCCTCGTACGAGGCCTTGATCATCAGCACCTAGTCATGCTCTGAATCAGCGCTTTAGTCGATTGTGGCTTCAAACTGTGCCACCCTGTATATGTGTGGTGGACAGCGAAAAGTTGGGAAAAAATCCTCATATATCACAAGCCCAAAACGGAAAAGCTCGTAGGCTGGAAAACCGTTTAAAAATAAGGAAGTAGGTCGTTGCAACGGCATGTGTTTAGCCTGCTGGACCGTTCTAATTTTACACTTTACAAATATTTTGTTACTGTTTTATGTTTCAGAGATTTGGCTATGGGTTATGTACAGGGGGGCCTCCATCCCCAGTTTTCACGCAACATCGCGAAGTGATTTTGGCGAAGATGACACCATCACCATCACCAGTTACTTAACAACTATCGAAATTAATCGCGATATTTATAGACAAAACAATGTCGATTCATTCATTTGGTCCTGTGCGACTTCCTCAAGCTGATGATCGTTTTATTCAAACGACCAGCTGAAAACCCATTAAATATTTAGCAGTAGGTACTTTCAATTTTTGCCATGAGTGACCCAGTTGGGACGTACCGGGCACATCCACACTTTCCCTTTCGTTGTTCTCACTTTCAGTATTAAATTTAATTAGCGTTTGTTGTCCTTGTATTTTGTTAAGGTGCCAATTGCTAGCCGTTATGGCAAATTGTACCAAGGCACTTTTCCCTAACTGTATGAAGAACATGCGGATCGACCTGCTTACCTCATTCCAATTTCTTATAGAACACGGTTTTTTTTTAAGCAAACTGTCTTATTGCCCTTGGCCCTACATAGCTATTGGGGTAAAACTGTTCAAAACATTTTCATAAATTGACAGAAAATGCGACAAAACTGACAACAGCCAAACTAATACAGCCACATTTTTTCTAATAACCGGCCAAAAAAGAATCTCAATATTTAAACTGGATCGGCTAAAAAGCTAAAAATTTGGAAATTTTACCACTAGTAGAGCAAAAATCTCTCGTTTTTAACTGAATTTGCACTGACTTTTGCAGTTTTTGTATAAACTACTACACACATTTTT